ATCAAAATATTAAAAAAGTTATCAACTTTTTTGTATGAACCTATTGATTTTCAATAGTTTTGTGGTATATTTCAAAACGTTTAGGTCTATAAATCAATATTTAGAGTGATTCATAAAAATTCTGACGGTTTGCATATATGTTGTGAACTTATCTTGAAAATTTGAAAGCAAATACTCTATCCAATATCAAGTTATGATGTTTTAAGTTTTGAAAAAACGCCCAAAATGAAAAGCTGAGAAAAATACAAAAGAAAGTTTAAAAATTAGAAATCTCAACAAATAAATTTTTTAAATCTTAATAATTTCCTGTAGCGTAAGAGTCTATGCGTTCTTTTTCTTTAAAATGTCGCAGTAACCAATTTGCTTTGCTCTGATGGATTTTCTTCGCCTTTTTACATTGTCAGTAGCTTTTTTGTTCATGCGTTTTAGGCGTGATATATCGAGTTTGTTTGCAATTTGGTGCAAAAATATTCCCGTCAATCCAAAATATTCTAATATGCCAAGGATTCCTTTTCTGCCTTTGTTAAAATATATTACAGCTGAATAGGTACCCATTTTTATGGTTTCTCTTCCAAAAAATATAGACTTTGGTACACAAGACCATATGATTGCATTCAAAGCCTCGTTTGCATTTTGTGTTTTGCCATGCATACACTTTTCCAATAGTTCATCTTTCATTAAAGCTTTAAAAGTTGGAAAGATGAGATTTTTTATCCACAGAGGAATTTTGTGACCTATATGTCTTATTTGCTTTCGACCATTACTTGCACCAACTTCCAGAATCTCTTGGGGAAAATTTATGACAATCAAAAGGATCAGGTTGGTCAGTGAAATGAAAAAGTATTGATAATATTGCTTTCTTCATGGCATACAAATTTCCAATAATATTACGAATAGGCAGGCCATAATAATTTTACATAGAGTCAATGTACTTTTTGGTAAGTTTTTCCTTACCATATAATACATTTAGGATGGAACAAACAAAATAGTAAACATATATATGAAGCTATATATGTGACTTTCAATGTAACTTCCCCACGCGTGTTTGTAGTTTTAAAGTATACTTTAAAGTATACTTTAAAACTACAAACAAGCAAATAAGACATATAGGTCACAAAATTCCTCTGTGGATAAAAAATCTCATCTTTCCAACTTTTAAAGCTTTAATGAAAGATGAACTATTGGAAAAGTGTATGCATGGCAAAACACAAAATGCAAACGAGGCTTTGAATGCAATCATATGGTCTTGTGTACCAAAGTCTATATTTTTTGGAAGAGAAACCATAAAAATGGGTACCTATTCAGCTGTAATATATTTTAACAAAGGCAGAAAAGGAATCCTTGGCATATTAGAATATTTTGGATTGACGGGAATATTTTTGCACCAAATTGCAAACAAACTCGATATATCACGCCTAAAACGCATGAACAAAAAAGCTACTGACAATGTAAAAAGGCGAAGAAAATCCATCAGAGCAAAGCAAATTGGTTACTGCGACATTTTAAAGAAAAAGAACGCATAGACTCTTACGCTACAGGAAATTATTAAGATTTAAAAAATTTATTTGTTGAGATTTCTAATTTTTAAACTTTCTTTTGTATTTTTCTCAGCTTTTCATTTTGGGCGTTTTTTCAAAACTTAAAACATCATAACTTGATATTGGATAGAGTATTTGCTTTCAAATTTTCAAGATAAGTTCACAACATATATGCAAACCGTCAGAATTTTTATGAATCACTCTAAATATTGATTTATAGACCTAAACGTTTTGAAATATACCACAAAACTATTGAAAATCAATAGGTTCATACAAAAAAGTTGATAACTTTTTTAATATTTTGATTTAGAAAAAATCTGACTGTTAAATGGAGTATCTGGGTGTTCTGAAAAATGTTCTAAAGTTTAATTGAAAACCGGTAAAAACAAACTGACTTAAAGCATTTTGAAATGTGATCAACTATGCTTCATTTTCCCCCATTATGGATCAACCAAAAGTAATTTTTTTTTCTAAATCATACTAGTTATCTCTAATAAACATTATAAACACTTATATATGTTAGATTTCTTTTTATTTCTCAAAATCACCTTTTTTATTGGGCAACCACCTTAAATCACATTTAATAGTTGATTTCAACAAAAACTAAACTCTTTACTTACCAAAACTGTTGGCTTACTAGAACTGAGGTATAAACTTGATTTTAAAATTTAGTAATTATTTTTTCATGGATAATAATCATTATTAAATAATAAAGTGCGATCATTTAATATTAAATTAAAATAAATTTAAAATTTTATTATCAAAATAATAAATTTATTTATAATAAATATTTTAATTAAACGATGGCAATAAAATAATAATAATAATAAAATTGTCCAATATAATGTGTATCTAACTATTTTGATTTTATTTTAAATGAAAAATAGTTGATTTTAGAAAATGCCTCGAGACAAAGAGCGCGACAATTAGATAGTTAACTCGCTTAAATCAGATAGTGTTAACGCATCGTTACAAGGAAGCGAAGACAATTTTATTTGCTTGGGTTTCTTTTGCAGAGGTTTGCCCACAATAGACTTCCCACAAATGAATAAATGCTCAGAAGGTACTACTGGTTTAATCTCGACAAAAACACAAGTTAAATTAGTAAATAAATAATTTTTGCAGCGTTTTAGTACCACACAGATCAACGTCAAAATTGGCTGCCCAGTTGCTTCTGCTAAGACTTATTTGAGATGCTCCAGATTTGTTGACGGAGTTTGCGGAAAGAACACTAAGCAGTTAAATACAAACGTCTATATTCTGTGGGAGTTTGTCAATTTGTGGGAATAAGCTGGGTTTAATGATATTTTTACAGTGACCGAACAAACTATGAAGAACAGAATTTCCAAGAAAATTAATGAGTATCACACTTTTAAAATGCTTAAAACACTATATTTGCCCGAGGGTAGCTAAAAAAAGAAGGTCGACAGTTTTTTAAAATAGAGTTGTGCGCTTTTTTTTTCAAAAACCAAACATATAATTAAAATTGATGAAAATAGGGGTGACAAGGCTAAGAGTAAAGAAATAAAATTTTTGAGAAAAGATACAGTTGCGAAAAAGGTGAATCTAAAAATGAGGATAGAATTGTTATAAGCGCGTCTTCACCAGAATCTGGGCCGCTAGACTTCCTTCTGGGCATCTTAGAAATCAAAAGTTCTAAGGGAAGTGATTAAGCTACTGCCATTCAAGCTATGCTTGAATACTATGAGATGTCTGATCAGATTATTGGATAGCGTTCGGATACAACATCCAGTATATATGTATGTTGTACATATATACCTTGTTATTAATATATATATATTTTTAACGATGTGTATTAAAAGTTAAGCTACATTTTTTTTTAACTTTTTTTATTAATATTTTAAAAATTTTTTTATTGCGAAAAAGGTGCAATAGCAATTCTATCGTCATTTTTAGATTCACCTTTTTCGCAATTGTATCTTTTTCAATATTTTTGTGTTTTCAATATAGTTGTTTAATTTAATAATTGTAGATTTTAACTTTATTTTCAGAGAGTGTTCCCTGTTTAGGTTTAATAGTGGTTTGTTTCTGGAAACTAATTTATTAAATAATTAGGGGCCACGATATGTAATTGAGAATTTTGAAAGTCTTGTTGTTTCAAACGGTATTTTAAATTTGCCTGTTGCTTTTGTATTGTATTATTTATATTGTTTTTAAAAAAGTGTGCTGTAAAGTGTTCTGGAACCAGATTTAGTTTATATTTAAACATGAAAAGTATATTTTGAAAAACATTTATTTGAAAAACATGTCATTATAAAGAGTTATAGTTATTAACAATATATTTTATTTTTATGTTAAATTATGTTTAAGAACTTTTGAAATGGAATACAGGAGTATTATTTTAGTCCTTGACATAACAAACAGCGAACGTTTATTTAACGGTTAATGAAAACGTTCTTTTGATAGCTCTTGAACGTTCACCTTATACACACAATAACGAAAACAAAAGTTTAACCAATATATTTTTTTTTAATTTAAACAAAAAAAATTATAAGTTTATTGGTTTAAGCGGACTTTCTGTTTAAACCTACATTGGCTAGTGTAATGTAATGCTTTTTTGAACTTTTTATTTTAACCCCTATTTGTTTAAAACTCGCTAAATAAGTACTTAAGTAAAAGTTTATTTGTACTTAAGTATAACTAAAGTTACAACTGAATTGTATCATTGAGAGGCTTACTTGAGAGCTCATGATTTAATTATTACATTTTAAACATAAGACACTAAATTGGCTTATTTTTTGCACTACACCAAGGCAAATTCTTTGGTAATAAATTTAAACAAGGAGCTAATCGGCAATATAATAATAATTATAATTATTATCTGGGATAATAACTTTGTTTTATTTAAATATTGGCAAAAACGTTTCCAAAATATGTCAAATTAGACATATATTGGAAACGTTTATTTTAATTACTTTTTTTTAATCTAAAGTAAATGGTGATGAAACGTATTTAATAAACTTTCAAAAAACGGCTTTGAGACGAGTATTGAATGCATTTATTTAAGGAGCTTTTTCCGCGCATATGTAACGGTTTGACACCAAAAAACAATTTATTTTTGACCCATTTTTTCATATTTATTTTTTACAACTCGTTATTTTAAGTTGTAAAAAAGCAAATAAGAAACACAGGTTTGAAAGTAAATGTTTGGAAAATAATATTTTGCTGCAAAATTGATATACTAAACTTAAAAAGAAAAAAACTCAATCAATTTTAGATTGTAGGGGGTCTCTAGATTACATTTATAAAAAAAAATATATCCTATTATAAAAGTTGGTTTTAAGGAGATTTGTTCACTCTACTATGCGCAGTAATAAGATAATTATGTCAATATTTTAGCAAAAACTATGGGCTTTTTCATTTTCTTTACAAAATTACCTTAAGCTTGCTTCAAACTGTTATTGTTACAACTAAGAATTTAATTGTTTTGAATTGTTTTAGAGATGGTTCTAGTGAGCGAACCAACAGACATAATAAAAGGCAATTATCTATCAACCTTAACAATACCTAAAGTGTATGAAATATCCTTCGAAGTTTACCTAACTTCTGTTTCAACCACACCAACAAACTTAATTCATTTTACGACTGGAAATAATTGTTGTGGTTACGGAACAAGAATCGCGTCTGTGTTTGTTTCTAGTCAAAGCACGCTTGCAGAATTTACTGCACCGGTGAACGGAAATGGCAATTATCATTTCTTTGCAAAGTTACCGTTAATGAAATGGACAAAAATTACTTCAAAACAGTATTTAAGTCATGGAATGTACTTTTATGCTGTCGAAATTGATGGGCAGACCGTTCATATAGTGCAAAATAATGACACAAGAATATTTGAAAACGTTAAACTATATATCAGCAATGTATGGTTTAATGCAACAAAAGGATTCATAAGAAACTTAGCCGTACCAAGTGAAGTCTTTTTAATTATAATTTTTTCATTATATATATATATATATATATATATATATATATATATATATATATATATATATATATATATATATATATATATATATATTCTTTTAAAATCATTTTCTTGTTATACGCCTCCCCTCCCCCCCTCCCCCCATCTAATCTGTCAATAGGTCTTAAAATCTTAAAAAACCTTTTATTATTAGGTGTATTACTAAAATCCTTAAGTTTGGAAAATGACCCTAAAATTTATAAAAAACCCCCCCCCAAATTCGCAGGTCCTGCGAATTCTTCTGCGTGGTTAGCCTCAATGCTTACAAACTACGCATAAAAATATGTGTAACCTGGGGGTAATGATATTGTATGAAGAGTTATAAACTTTTAGTTACAAAACTTTGAAAACTGCGTCATAGAAGTCAGTATAGTTCAAACACTAAATTATTTGCTGCAATTACACACATAGGCAGATCAAAGTTTATTAGAGTCTCTCAGAAATTTGGCTTCTAAGTTAATAAAGCTTCTTTGAAGAAATAAATTAACACAAATAAAGTTTTCCATTAGAAATTGATTACACAAATAAAGTATGCGAAAAGCCGCTTGCATTTGCAAGCGGCTTTTCGCATACTTCATTTGTGTAATCAATTTCTAATGGAAAATCATTTGAAATATCACAGTGTTCTTTTAAACACCCAAGGCAATTACAGGTAAATGCTAATTTTAACTATGTTGTATTGTTCAACATTTTTTCAGAAAGAGAATATTGGCTCGGCCCAGTGTTCTACAATAAAATTGTCTGCCTCTGTTATTGATATATATTTTTTCTGAGTCAAACTTATATGATTCAAGCAACAGGTAACTCTAGAGTTCCATGGTGTATTTGAAATAGGTCCTGGTAGAAAAAAATGAATCGTGGTTAAATTCATTGAGTCTTGGTAAGACTTGTATCCTTTACATTTACATAACAAATCCAGCTCCTTACAATCATTCCTGACATATTTTTTGCTATTAATTACTGGCCCGTTAGGCTTGTTTTTTCCAATTAAGTTATAGTAATTACAGATCAACTAATTAATGAACCAGCAACTAATATTAGGTGATGTTGATACGGAATCAAATTTTGAGTTTATAAAATGCATAAGAATCAGGACGAGAACATAAAGTCAATGATGATACATGATGATTATATTATTTAATGTTATAAATAGAAACAATGTTGCCTTTCTCTAATTTTTTTAAAGGAATAACCAAAGATTTAGACTGGCTCAAAATGCAAGAGCTGCAATAATGTTGTTTGTCTATGGTCTTACGATCAATAAGCACCATATTTCATCAGAAGAGCCAATATAAGACCGAATCAAGCTTAATTCATGCATAAGTGTTGTAAATGCTATTTGGATTGCAGATCTGCAAATGATGTCTCACCAACTGCATTGAGTATAGCTTCTGCAATCTCTGCTGTACAGATTATTGGGTACTCTTCATTTTCAGATATCTTAGCTACCATTTTACCGGTGAATTTTGCACATTTTAATGCAATTGTGTATTCATCACGGGTACAATTATCTTCTTAACTTTCACTACTAGAATTATCTGCATCATCAAACAATTGACTATAATTTGTTTCAAGTTCTTTTCTTTTAGGTGACAGGTTTCGCACCTGTGTTGTAATAGGCTCTGTCACTGCCCTTTGGACCCATTGGAAGATTTCTGAAGTTTATAAAAGAGTTTGTCTTCCAGATTTTTAACTTTAGCAATTTTAGCAACTTTAGCAACTTTTAATCAATAAGTCAAATAATTTATCCCAGCTATTTATAATAATTGTCTTTTTATTTGTACTTTGTGTTAATTTAATAACAAATTTATAGATTTATATGGCAGACAACTTTTCATTGCACGGATTTCTCCATAAAATATGGTATCGTCTCTTTATTTTATAATTGACAAGCTTCAATTGAGATTTATTTAATAACATCACTTAATTTAGGAATATTACTCAATTCAAAAGGCATTGATACCTTCCAAATATTTGCTTTGCCTTAATAATAATTTTGATGTCCGCTCATAAAGAAAACCAACTTTTTTTTTTGACCCTGTTTTACTGTCATTAGGACTTTCTTTTATTTATTAATGAAAATACAAAAATCACAATTTCTCGAAAAATTCCCACAAAAAAATATATTTTTCATCAAAAGTAAATAAAAAAATTAAAATATTAACCAAAACTTGACTAACTATGCTTTTTTCTTTCTGTATTTTTGTTTAATGTATATAAGATGCATGCTACCACGTTACCTATGAAAACAAATATGTAGCTTTAAGTTAAAACTAAATGTCATTATGAAAATTTCATTTTATTAACGTTATAGATCTATGGTATGTAAATGTCAAACATCATCTATTTACTGTTAAAATGCAATCAAGTATTACCCGCAATTTGTTTTGCTTCTTTGAAAGACTTGCGATAAATTAAGAAGTAACGGCTACAGAAGATAATAAAATGCTCATTTTGGAGAGAGATAAACTTAGCCAGGCTAATTTCTTCTAGAAGGTTTTTTAAATGAGATTTTAGGGGAGATTTTAAACTGAGGATATTTTTTATCTTTTCTTAATGTGTTAGGCTCGAATAGATATCTACCTGATGATATCTACCTGATGAGCGGACAGTTTACAAACGTCATTATTTTTTAATAAATTACAAAAGAAAACAATAGATAGTATGATCTAAATAAATCAGTATTTTTGTAAAACTTTTTCAGTCACTTTCTGGTTTTAATACTTATTTATTTAAATCCAAAACCGAAGTCATTACGTTTCAGCTTACCAATTTTTCCCAATCGCATTTGTAAAGCTTTTTATATAGTTTCATAAACAATTTTAATAGTTGTAATAAAAAAATTTGTAAGAGGGGTACATTTAGCATGTAAAGGCTCACGCATATTCCTACTTCCAGAAATATATTCTTGTCAAAGTGTCGAAATGCTGGCAACTTAATTTTAAAAAATTATAACAAAATATAGAAAAATATGGAATATATTTGGCAAAAAAACTTTACAAAAACATAATATTTATCTGAAAAAAGACTAAATAGACTAACATTATAAGTGTAAATTTTTAGACTTTTGTTGACAACAATTTAAAATGTGTTATTCAGAAAAAAAGTTTTTATTCCTCTTGATTTTTTTCTTGATTGGGTCCCAGCCGGCACAATGACGTTGAAATAACGTTTAAACAACGTCGCAAACCGACCATATGCCACGTTGAAACAACGTTGAAATTTGGTTGAATTGGAAATAAAATCCGACGTCGAAAACTACGACGTTGAAACAACGTCGATGATTACGTCGTTTCAACGTTGATCTAACGTCTTATCGACTACATATCAACCATATTTCAACTTTGAATAGGTGATAAATTCGATTGATACGTAGTTGATAAGACGTTAAAACAACGTTGAAACAACGTAAATTCAACGTTGTGTTGTTTTTTATTTTGGTTAAATCCAATTAACTAAAAAATTTTCTCAACTTTAATTGCAATAAATTAACACAATAAAAAAGCAATAATTTGCGCAGAGGATATTATATTTCACGTAAATTAATCAGCTACAACTAAATTGCTTCAACGGACTTTATATACAATGCAAATAAAATAAAATGTTTGAAAAAAAAAAGTTTTATTTATCAGTATTATATTTATCAATTTATCAATAATAACTATTATCAATAGTTCCAGAACAACTAGGAAAAAGTATGAATGTTATACATCGGGTTAATCGCCTTTTCCGCGCCGACCACCACCATTTGATCTGTCGAGTGCGTATTTTGATAAATTCATTATTCCTTTTCTTATTTCGGCAACTGTAGCAGTCACTTTAATTTACAAAACTCTCTCTATAAAAAAGGTATTGCCTGAGTAATTTTTATCAAATACATCAAAAAGTTAAAAATAAAATAGCATTAAAAAAACGAACTGTGATTTTTAAAAATATATAATTTTACACTTAACTTACAAGTAAATACCTAATGTTTGTTCCTTTAAATTTCTCTTTACCTTTACCGTCAGCCATATTAAACTTTGATTATAAACCATTGGTCAACAACCTACATTATACATTGTTTTAATATCATAGTAACAAAAATTGATATACATGTCTTTTACAAAATACAAATTATTCTTAATGAAAAATAGCACAAAGGTTTCTTACCAAAGGTTTCTCACCCAACGCAAAAGGTTTCTTACCAAACCGTAATGCAAGTAAGAAAAAGAATTCATACAGGGGAAGAGTTTGGTCCAAGCAGACCACCTTCTAAACGCTAGAAAACACCAAGAGCGGACAGTATAATCAGAAATATCTGCCTGGAAAACAGAAAAAAAGCCACTAAGCTTATCCATGAAGCTGTAATTGTTGTGTCAGACCAGACCATTTGTAGAAGGCTAAAAGAAGAGGGATTGATGTCCAGCCGAAAATGTCAAAAATTGACAAAAAAATTTAAAAATAATGTCAAAAATCTTATATTTATGCAAGATGGTGCAACTTGCCATGCAATAAAAACTGTTATGGCTTAGTTGATGTATTGCTATAGCCAGACAACTCGCATGATCTTAACCCCATAGAAAATATTTGGGAAATAGTAAAGCAAGAGATTGGAAAAAAAAAATCTTACTAATAAGCAAGATCTTATGGAAGAGATTATCAAGATCTAGCATAATAACCCAGAGTTGACAGAAACTATAAAAAATAAATTGCAAGCATGTCACAATGCAATGAAGCAGTTATTGCAAATAAAAGTGTTTTTGCAAAATATTTATACTTTATATATACAGTTGTGTGACAATTTATTATGGCCACCTATGAGTTTTGATAATTTTGAAATTTAATCTCATTTTTTTCATATGAAGAGTAAAAACTCATTATTGAAAGGTAATCTTCTGTTTAAAATAAAGTTTTAACTTATAAAATCAATGCTTTTATTTTGCTACTGGCAACACTGTTACTT